CATTTCTAAAGAAGGGCACAGAATTCGTGAATGCAAGACATTCTTAATTAATACTCTCGGTATAAATGAAAGAACAATCAGAACTGTTATAAAGTCTAAGGCAAAGGGTACTGGAATGGTACCAACTGATAACAGAGGCAAGCATCAAAATCACAAAAAGATTGATGAAGAAATATCGAAGTTCGTACGTGACCACATTAATTCAGTTCCTCGTATCGAGAGTCACTATGTCAGAAAAGACACAAAAAGGGAATTTATTAACGGTAGCCGAGTTATACCAAAATTATTCAACACAGAGGTCTTCCGTTAATAAGATTGCAGCAAACGTTACGATAAATACTCAAGAATATTCAATAAAGAGTTCAATATAGGTTTCTTTTTGCCCAAAAAACACCAGTGTGACATTTGTGAAGCCTATAAAAACTCCCAAACCTTGAGATTAATTACCAAAGCCACCTAAAAGAAAAAGAATTAAGTTGAAGTGAAAAACAAAATGATAAAGAGAAAGCCAAAAATAATGAATGTGTGCTTGCAGTTTATGACTTGCAGGTTGCTACCTTCCCGTTTGGGAGGTGGGTTCAAAATTGTACCTATATAAAACACCAAATTTTAGTTCAATGTAATTACACAATGTGCCTAATTTAAAATTTAACCATAAAAAATTTGTCCCACGTGATAATTAATAACCCAAAATTTATATTAACTTATCCAAACTGTGGGCGATTTTCTTGGAAATAATACAAAAGATGCAACGCTATTAGTTTCGTCTCAATCCAACCGTAGTTGTATGATATAACTAATATCAATTAACCGTAGACAATTATTAACCTTTCCCAAAATCAAATGAAAGGATTTTTCAACTCAAAACGTGACTTCACTGCCAGCGTGCCGAAAAGAAAAGAAGGAAATCACCAGACAGGTGGGCGCTTGGAATTTTAATCTCGATACACCCTCCTGATATAAATTTAGCTATAAAATCCCTAGGTACATCCACAACCAGTTAAGTACCAATGTTGCCAGGATTAATCCGATAATAAAAGAAAATTAATAATAAATCAAACAATAATAATAAGTTAAATGCAATTACAACTAGATACAATTGATAAGAGTTTAAGATCATTAATAAATAAAAGTATTAAAATAAGTTAAACACTAAAATTAATTATTTAGAGACTAAATATGAATGAGGTGAAATATGATTTAAGAAAACTTCAAGAAGCTGGCAACACCGTTAGACCCGTTGATGATTTGACGTTTCTGCCCTAACCACAAATTAATTAATCTAAACAAAAATCACAATCAGATTATTTATTAATAATAATTATTGAAGGTATTATTGTTATTAAAAAGGTATGTACATCGTTTCGTATAATATAATTAATATAATATGGTTTCCCTTTGTAGCAACCAAACAACTAACAAAATGCAATGAATATTTCCACTTGAACAGAAGTAAACAAATACCAAAAGTAAGTATATAAAGTGGTTATTATTAATATTACTTTAATTAACGTTATTTTAGATAAATAAGAAGTCTTTACACGATGCATTTACCCTTCCATAACCTGAAGAATAATACCTCAAGATCGAGTCAAAGATATTATTTACAAAATATTACATTTGGCTAAAAATACAACAATATGAAGTTAAATTATGATTTAAAGTTAATGCACATTTGCTTTACTTGTAAATAGAAAATAAATAAATAATTAATATGTATTAAGAAATGTATTGTTATATTTTATTAACGTGCCATCTTCAAGGTTATAAATAAAATAATAAATCTCCACATTCACCATTTTGTCAAGATATATCAATTAAAATAAATATAAGAAAATTAAATCCCCTTTAAAATATATACTACCCACACTTCAATACCCACTCGACCCACCACTGTCATCAGGTTTTTCTACAAATCCCGTATCAACTGCTATAATTTTACAGTAGAATGGGTACATTCTACCCATTTTTAAAAATTCCATTAAATAAAAATGCCAGATAAGCTTTTATTGTTCTTGAATGGATTTTACTTTCATGTTTAATTTAATATATTAATATATATTTTTATTATCAGTTATTATTAAGCAAAGTACAAGGAGCAAAAATAAGACCAAACCCCTGCTTGTATGTTATTCTCTACATTAAGTTTATTAAGACTGAAGGAAGGTCATTCGACGACTGGTTTCGGAGATTTATCTCCATCGTCAGTAGAGGTGTAGCGAATCGTATGTATTCGTTACTAAGTAACGAGTATTTTATTGGATTCGAAATACCGATTCGTTACTATCACATACAATTACGACGAAAAGCGGGATTGCGGCGAATTATTTATTTGACGCTGTATGCACAATTCTTCCCGCGCCGCGCCGCTTCGATTCCGCGAGATAGGACTACAGCGAAACTGGTGATTAATATGGCGTGTTTTACAGAAAATTTAAACGAATTGGTAAAGAAATACCCAATTCTATGACACGAAAAATCCTGAATATAAAAACCCTAGAAAACGTGATAAAATATGGGATAAAATTTGTAGGTTCTTCCGGACTAATCGACTCCCATAATTTGTATCATTTTTGCGAATATTTTCTCTAATAAAATTTAAGATCTCTTCGAAACAGTCACTTGGCATTCTAAAATATATATAAAATCGTTTAGGATCTATTTGCAGTTGCAGCATTAAAAAATTATTATATATTATATAAATTAATTTACAATCAGAATATTAACGAAAAAAATAAAAAAATTATGTCCCAAGGCAGCTTCGTGCCGCGCTATCCTGCCGTGCTCGATTTATGTTCACGCCTAGCATTTAACAGATTAAATAAAAAAAATACAGGGACTTCATTACACCTGTAAATTTCCTAAATGTTTAAAGAAGTACTTTTATCCTGTATCAGATACAAATTATAAAAATAAATCATTTTTTAGATTTCCTGTTAAAGATATTTCTGTGTGCCGTCAATGGAAAAAAATTGTAACATAAGTGATAACACAAAAGTGCAATAATTTTTTTATCTGTCAAGAACATTTTCATCCTTGTGAATATAATAACTATAATAGAATTAAGTTAAACTCTGGATCTATTCCTAATTGTTTAATAATTCAGAATGATCATGATTATTGTCAACCTAATAAATCTAATGAAGTTCATAACTGGGTACCCTCCTCTGATGTACCTATTTCTGTAAATAACTATAACAGCTTACCTAGTACTTCCAAAGAAGTTTCTAATGTAGTACCTTCCTTTGATGGTATTAGTTTTCAAAACGATCATGGTTATTGTCTACCTAGTACCTCTTATGAAGTTCAAAATTCAGTAGCCTCTCCTATTAATATTTCTGCACAAACTATTTCAAATTTAGAGTCTATTTCAAATAATAGTCAACAGTTTAATTTTCTTAGCAAAGATTTTTCAGTAACCGATAATTCAGATAATGCAGTAGCCAGCACAAGCAAAGTTAATACAAATATGTCTGATAGAGAACATTCAATGTATAAGGTACACAGAAATATTTGTTCGAAATTCTCGAAATTAAACTAAAGGTTTTAAAAAAGTTACAGGATGAAGGAAAATTTGAATTTATTGATAATAATTTAAACGATGTTACTAAATTTTTTTTTAATTCTCAGTTACGCATTATTAATAGAAAATCTAAAGGCAAAAGCTGGTCTGTTGATGACAAAACTTTTGCCCTATCCATGTATAAACGCAGCCCCAGGTTGTATAGGTATCTTTGTCATTATTTTCGGTTACCGTCAATTCGTTCGCTTAAACGCGTTTTGGCTAAATTTTCTTTTAAACCAGGACTTAGGTAAATTGCTAGAATACTTAAAATTAGAAGTTGATAAAATGGATGAAGATGATAAATATTGTTCTTTATTATTTGATGAATTGGACTTAAGTAGTAGTTTCCATTTTGATATTCATAAAGAAAAAATTATCGGCTATGAAGATCTCGGTCATTTAGGACGATCTATTAAACCAGCAAATCATGCCCTCGCATTTATGATTCGCGGAGTTAGAAAGCAGTGGAAACAAATTATAGCATATTATTTTACATCTTCTTCAATTTCCACTGCGTCTTTAAAATAATTAATACCTTATATTATAAATGAATTACAGGGGCTTGGCTTAAAAGTAATATCAACTATATTGATCAAGGTGCCACTAATCAAGCCGCCCTTAGAGCTCTCAGTTTAGAAACCAAAGGTTCAACTCAGCACCTATTTTCTGTAAACAATGTAGATATAGGGGAAAGGAGTCGAATATCGATCAGTGGCTAATATCGATCATCTTAGTTTTACACAATCCTACAGAGATATAAAACTATTGAATGCGTGCTGCCATCTGTTAAATCAGATCAAAATTACCAACAGCAATTTCAGGCAGTTTAATTGTAAAGTCGAGTGTGTATGCTCATAAATAGTTTTTGTGCAGTTTTCTTATAGTTTTTTCGGCTTTTGCTATCAATAGTTTCATGGCACTTTAAGGTGTTTTATGTAGTGTTTACAAATATTATACTTGATTGAGGTTGGGAGTTTTCAATGTTAAAAAAATGGCGTCCTTACGGCGGGCAATATCGGCCAGCATGATCGATATTACACGCCTATGATCGATATTGGCCTAATGCCTTATATTCTTTGTAGATGCCCCCAAAAAATATTTTCCTAAGACAAATCGCTCTACATGGTCTGAGGAAAATATGAAACGGGCTGTGAAGGCGGTTGAACAGAAGACACAGTCCATTAGAAAGGCGGCACAATTAAATGGAATACCATATGCCACGTTAAGCGATTGAAAAACAGGTATCCTAGTAAAAAAGTAAAATTAGGTAGGAAACTTGTATTAAATGAAGATCAAGAGACAGAACTGGAAAGTCATATTTTAAAATTGTCAAACATGTTCTACGGATTGACACTAAGTAAAACTAGGTAGGGAACCTGTATTAAATGAAGATCAAGAGACAGAACTGGAAAGTCATATTTTAAAATTGTCAAACATGTTCTACGGATTGACACTAAGTAAAACCAAACAACTTGCTTTCGAATATGCAGTTGGAAATAACTTACCACATAATTTTAACGTCGAAAAGAAAACCTGCGGTAAAGATTGGCTGCGTGGTTTCTTAGCACGGCATCCACAAATTTCTCTCAGACGTCCAGAAGCTACCAGTCTTAACCGAGTAATTGCGTTTAATCGAAAAGATGTGAACTTATTTTATGACAATTTAGAACTAGTCTTCGAAAAATATAAATTTCCTGCAAGACGCATTTATAACGTGGATGAGACGGGAATTAGTAGAGTATATAAACCTCATCGAGTTTTGGTGGAAAAAGGGAGAAAACAGGTGGGTGCAATTACAAGTGGCGAAAGGGGCCAGACAACCACTGTTGTACGTTGTATGAGTGCCGCAGGATATTTCGTGCCGCCAATGTTTATTTTTAAACGCGAACGTATGAATGTCGCTTTGGAAAAAAATGGACCTGTAGATGCAATCTACCGTTGCTCGAAATCAGGATGGATCACTGAAGATTTATTTCTGGAGTGGTTAAAGCATTTCGCTCAATATGTAAATGTCTCTACTGTAGATCTAGTGCTAGTAATTTTAGAAAATCATACCACACACTCTTCCTTGAAGTCTTATAAATTCTGTCGTGAAAACGGGATTGTTCTTGTTTCACTGCCCCCACACACTTCCCACCGGCTCCAGCCTCTGGACGTCACATTTTTCAGTTCACTAAAGACAGCATATAGTAAGGAATGCGATCTTCATATGAAGACCCATCATTATAGCAAAATTGAAGTGACTGACATCGCAGAGCTCTTTGCCAAAGCTTATAATCGCATCACTTCTAAAGAAAAAGGTTTAAATGGGTTTAAAAATACGGGTATATTTCCGTTAGACAGAAACCTATTTGGTGAGGAAGAATTTACTGAAATGACAGTAGAAGCAACAGTAGGAGCAAATTCCGACATCGAAAGAGAAGCTAGCGAATTAAGCTTTTCTCCCGAAAATTCGGTTTATTTAGATTCGAAGCCCGGAACTAGTACGGCTTCAGACTCACCATATGTACCAACCAAAAGCTACTATAAAAAATATATGCGTCAAACTACACCGCCACTGGAAACCTATAATACGAAGCCGCGTGCTAATTTAGATAAAAAAAGCGTCAGCGCAGGTCATCTTCCAGCGATAGCTTTTCAACAGACATTACAGAGGTCTCCGACGAAAACGCAACCGATGATGGAGACAAGACCGTTCTATTAAAGAGTACATCCTTTGAAGACTTTCATCCAACACCCCGATTAATAGAAAAACCACTCTTTAAAAAAAGAAAACAAATGTCCCATATACTAACATCCACTCCGCTGCAGGCATCTTTAGAGGAGAAAGAAGCAAAGAGAGAGAAAAAGAAAGTTGACGAAGCCACAAAAAAATTATTCCAACAAGGAAGATCGGTGGGATTTAAAAAGACAGCAGCTAAAACACAAATTAAGGACAAGTCTAAACGTAAACAGCAACATGGAGAGTGTATAAAAGAGAACGATTTATGTCCAATATGCGTAGAGACTGGAAGGACAGATGAACAGTGGTGGCGGTGCAGATCAAGTGGTACTTGGCTTCATGCTGCCTGTACTGCGGTATCTTAGCCAGGGGTGTTTTGAAATTTGATAAAAATAAATTCGCAAAATTTCAATATATAGAATCCGCATTCAATTTAGACAAAGAAACTAGAACATTTAGCCAGTTACCTTACTTAAGTAAAGAACATTTTAATTTTAAAAATAAAAATCCCCCATATGAACTTCCAAGTAGGCAAATTATATCCAGAACCTTAGTGCCAAGTATTTATGAACAATGCTTGAATAAGTGTAGAGAAATGGTTAAAGATATAAAGGCAGTTTCTTTGACTACTGATTGTTGGACTTCCGCAAATAACGAGAGTTATATAGGAGTTACAATTCATTTTATAGATGAAAATTTTATTCTCCAAACGATGCTTTTAAAATGTGCAGTATTTCATGAGTCCCATACAAGTGCCAACCTAGCTGCAGAACTAAGAGCTATAACACAGGAATTGTGTATTGATAAAAAAAATATTTTAGCAATATCCGATAATACCGCTAACGTAAAAAGTGCCATTATGAATAGTTTAGAACGGAAGTCCTTCGGATGTTACGCGCATACCCTGAATTTGATAGTTCGGGATTCGATCAGCGAGGTAACGGGGTTACTTGAAAAAGTAAAAACTATTGTTTCGCACTTTAAAAGGTGCTCGAAAGCGTAATAAAAATTGATGATCTTCCAGGAGAACAGTGGCATTAAATATCCTAAGAAACTCCTTCAGGACCTTGTTGTAACTAGGTGGAACTCCACATACCACATGATTGAACGTTTTGTCGAGCTAGAAGAAGCTATATGAAGTACGATAGCTCTTCTAGACTCAGAGTTGCCCCAACTGACATTAGATGATTGGGTCATGCTAAAAGAACTGAAAGTAATTTTGAAGCCATTTGAGGATGCTACTCGAATTATAAGTGGAAGACAATATCTTGTAGCTTCTTTAGTTATGGTCCTTACAGGAGCTCTTTTAGATGTCTGTAATGAAATTTTAAAAATAGAAATGTCCACAGTTTCCAAAACTATTCTTAAAAAATTGCAACATGTACTCCGAAACAGATTTGGAAATGTTGTAGTCGTAACTACTTATTTAGATCCTCGTTTTAATAATCCTCTTCCCTTTAAAAATCAAGATGCACTGGAAAGAGTGAAAAAAATGTAATAGGAGAGTTGGGGGAGATTATTTTAAAAAAGACCCTATTAATCCAGTCCAACCACCCACAAATACTGCAGAAGACAATTTAACTAAAAAGCTTGCATTTTCAGTGTGGGCTACAATCGACAAGATCACCTCAGCAAATCAAATTAGAATACCAAATAAAAGTTCTATCTCTAGGGCCATTATAGAAATCCAGAGATACATGAAAGACATTATTCTTGATCGAAAAAAGACCCGTTAGAATGGTGCAAGGAAAATGCATATATGTATCCTAATTTAAGTGTACTGGCTAAACAAAAATTATGTGCTGTGGCGACCTCAGTACCATGCGAAAGCTTATTTTCAACGGCAGGCGAAATACTTAGTGACAGTCGACGTCGTCTTAAGTGGAAAAATATAGAACAATTATTATTTTTAAACTTTAATGCAAAATTTTGTAAATAAAAAGTAAATATATCACAAAACACCCATTTCGTTCCAAAGATAGATATATGATTTTTATAAATATTTGTTAGATGTATCTATTTGCACCTGTTTTTTTTTCAGAGTTGATAATCCTTTATGTTTGTTTTTGTTTACGATTTTTTAAAATATTTGTTAGATGTATCTTTTTACACTTGTTTTTTTCAGAGTAGGTACACTCCTTTATGTTTGTTTTTGTTTGATTTTTTAAATATTTGTTACATGTATCAAGGATGTATCTATTTACACCTGTTTTTTTCAGTGTAGGTACTCCTTTATGTTTGTTTGCGTTTATAATTTGTTTAAATATTTGTTAGATATATCTATTTACACCTGTTTTTTTCAGTGTAGGTACTCCTTTATGTTTGTTTGTGTTTATAATTTGTTTAAATATTTGTTAGATGTATCTATTTACACCTGTTTTTTTTTCAGAGTAGGTACTCCTTTATGTTTTTTTTTGTTTATGATTCGTTTACCTAAATACCGTATGATCGAGAAAAAACGGCGTCAGCAATGGCTATGAAATGAATATCGCTGTCAATTTTTATATGTAAATTTACATGGAAAATATCATCGACCGTCATTTCCCAACCATCTGGACGCAGTTTTTTTTTTCGATTATACGGTATTTGTTAGATGTATCTATTTGCACCTGTTTTTTTTTCAGAGTAAGTACTCCCTTATGTTTGCTTTTGTTTTTATTTTATTTTAAACAAAGATATATAAAAAACAAGATTATCAATATATTGATATATTTTTTTGTATTTTTTGCAGTTGACGACTGCAAAAATTGGTGGAAGAGTATTAAGTCAAACCAGTCAAATGGAACCTGTATGAACGCCTACAATTTCTTGAGAGGATCAAACAAGAAAGGAGCTCCATAAACACCTTATCTGAAAACAGTTGGGGATGACCAAAATACCCTGGATGATCATGATTTGAAAATTGAGAACCATCAACACGCGAAACGCCTAGGATACAATCTACCCTTCCTTGATATTTTCGTCGATCAAAATAATTTACATTTAATTCAAAATCAATACAATTAAATGACGTTGATTGGACTTCTATGTTAAGCAAAGAAGACCTTAATAATACCTATATATTTTGGCCGACTGTATATAATTATGAAAACTTAATTGGAAACAGGGTATTTAAAGACCTAGCAAGCTATGCTTTAAAGCTGTTATCTCTTTCAGTGTCCAAGGCGGCTTCGGAACATATCGTCGGTCTCCGCACGTAGTGGCGTAACTGACATTTTATAAATTCTTCAGGGGAGCCAAAAAACGAAAATGGTACCATTTTAATTAGATGTCTAGCGAAATTTATGGCAGTGGTGTCAATAATTATTTTTTTAATTATTTGCTCAATAATTATGCTTTCTATAGGCACTACTAAGAGAGTGTAATCATTTTCCATTTTGATGAAAAAAAATATTTTAGACAGTTGTGACAACGTGAAAAAGTTTTTTAAAAAAATTGTTTGTTACGCCAAAATAGTAAAATTTAGTTACGTTTCTATGTGGTCACTTTTTTGTTATTTTTTACACCAAAAGTAGTTATTTGCAAAATAATTTGAGAAATACTCGAAGAGAAGTCTTTCTATTTAGAATAAAGCAAAAATTCATATTTAAAGAACTATATTACAAAAAAAGTATATAAAAAACTTAATTTTAATAAAAAATCCCATGAACTTAAACAAAAGCTATTACTTATAGGTTATTTTTCAATAAAAACCTAAAGTAACAAATAAATTCAAAAAAATACATTCAAGAATAAACCAAATAAAAAAAATAACTAAACAGACCAATATAAACAAAAAGACAAAAGAACTAATTTTCATGCGGTAATGAAAAAAAAACTGTTGTAGTTCAGGCATTCGCACAACGGGAGTTTGGCACTTGCAGAGTGATGTTAAATCCTCGTATTTTTTCTTTGAAATCGGAATTCGCCCGGAGTTTAATTTTTTTAAGGGCACACTCGAGAGTACACTCCGTTGTTTTAAAATTATTTTGTCAAAACTATTCTCGTTATGACTGTATTTAAAAAATATATTAATTGGTTCTTCTTTTGTCACCATTAGTTCCATAATGTTTGTCCATTTAATTGGTCTATTTTTACTGCAACTTTCTCTAATGGCTAGAATTTTTAATTATTTGGAATAAGATTTAAAATCCCAAAAATCAGTAAAGCTCATTGGGTACACCATAAGGCTTTTTAGGTCTGGCGCATCTCATTACAGGGTAAAGTTGGGATGGTATATTAAGATCTCCTGAATGTTGTAAGGCATAGCTTATGGCACTATGAGGGCTATCACCCTCGTTCTGGCCGTGGTTAGTTTCGAAAATTTTTTAGAAATCTCTTTAATATTTTTGTGTACTTCCAGAGAGTACAAAAGCATAGACGCTACTATTGAATTTTTATTTTGGCCATAACAACCATCAGAATATAGGTTAATTTTTTCTTTTCCCATTAAAGCATACTCTGATATTACTTTAAAAAGACAAGTTGCAATTTCAGCTGATCCACGTTTACTGTTTGTTTCATCCCACGTAAAACAAAAGCACTTTTTAGTTACAACGTTGTAAACCGCAAAGTTAAATACTGACAATCTAGATTTGTAAAGTATTGTGCTTTATTTGGAAATGGGAAGGTAGATAACCTGTTGAAGGTCAAATACAGCGCACACATCAGATAAGTTCTCCTGAGCATATTGTTTATCATGGTCCTTCTTTCCTCTTACTAATTTTTTTTTCTAAAATATGTTTTTCATATTTTTCTTTTAAGGAATTTTTAGTTTCTTCATTTCCCTCTCTAAAATTGATACAAAGGGAACATTGGTCCTTTTTCGGCTTTAAAAATGATAATTTTTTTGTTTTAAAAACCTTTCGGAATGTAGAAAAACTTGAGATATTCTGATTTCCTTTTTTTGCCTGTTCTTCAGCAAACATTTTATACATTTTTCTAAGAGATAATTCTGGATGTAGATACATTCTATTGGAGCTTGATCTGCAAAAATGCGATTCAACTCGTGGGTATCTGTCAATTTGATTCTCTAATCTTTTATATTACTACTTTCTCTTTGTTTAATTTCTCCATTTCTTTGTCTTCCTCCTCTTTTTTCCCGTTCCATAACACCCATTTTACTCAATTTTAGGAGGGCCGTACGAAGGGTGCGTTCGGAAATACCTAATGTATTTAAAAAAAAATTGCATACCCTAATTTTCTCATGGTTAACAGTTAAATAATAAGATCGTGAGTTTTCTCTACGTGAATTTTCCTCAGTTATAGTATGTTGTCTTTTTTTAAAAATATTAACATGTCTTGTTACAAATTCACGTTGCATTGTCAGATCTCCGAGACTTAAAAAATCTTGAAAAATTTGCTGTCTTATATTTTAATCACCAATTTGGCCACATTGTTTGCCCAATCCCTGACACTTTTCAGAATTGCAACGCTCTTTCATCGTTTTAGCAGGAACTTTTTTTTAAGTTGTAGTACTGATGTAGATATTCTTTTCCAGAATTACGCAGTAATTTTGCTTGTTTTTGTTTATTAGTTCTTTTCTTTTTACTGTTATTATCACTCTCTTTTGGGGCACCTTCTACAGAAAACTCCTTCTTACTTTTTTCATTGTTACAACAATTTTGCGATTTTTCTGTCTCCTTCCTTACCTAACTGTGACGCAACAAGAATTTCAAGTTTCTGGTTTGTTTTGTTGTATAGGGATTTAACACCTTTACCATGATATTTACATGTAGGTACATCTTCCAAAAAGTGATCATAACAAAGTAGAAAATCACATATTTCGAAAATTTCTTTTTTACAGCTGCGCACGTGACATATTCTAAAGGGAGGATCCGCATCAGAGTCATAATTATCTGATGAAGATTTATAATCTGATTCTCGGAAGTCGTCAATATGTGAAGTTTCCTGTAATAAAAATATATAAAAAATTCTGGATGCTGTGCAAAATATAAAAGGGAGTTTAGACGTTTATAATCGAAGTCTTTTTTACACTTAAATGTGTTTTTTACGATGACAAAGTAACCTCGGGTTGTAAGAAAGTCTGTTTAAATTTACCAACCCTTAAACCACCGTTATTATGGTTGAACACATTGTTTTTAAGCTTATTGCCATGGTTATTATGATTTAACGGTGAATAAATATTTAACAAACGTTCATACACCCTGCTCTAAAGCGTTTAAAAAAAAATTATAAACGTAATAATATATACATACATTTTGATCGATAATATTTTTACCAGAATGTCCTTTGAGTTCTTTTTGTCCTTTTTCCATTTTTAGCCAAAAAGCAAATAATTTTGCAGCACTTTTAACACACCAGTAAACGGACAATAAATAGATAAATAACTATTTATAGGTAAATATTTGAAATTTAAATTAAAATATTTTTTTATATATCCATTTATGTTTAATGTGACTTGCAGATACGCCACCGAACAAAATTTATTTAATGATTTTTAATCTCACGTAGAGGCGTAAGTAAACATACGCCTGTATGTGAAAAATTAATTATATTAGTTTGCAGATAAGCCAAAAACTGATAATTAAATTTTAGCAAAATGGTTCCGCCTATACGTATAATAATATTTGAGGTGATAGAACAACTTAAAATACATGTTTTACTAGCGCGAATCAAAATTTTTGATTTTGTCAGATACGTGCGGAGACCGACGATATGTTTAGCTTTATAAATATTACAAAAACAAAAATTAGAAACAGGATGCAAACAGAAATGTTAAATGCATTGTTAACTTTAAAATCGTTTAGTATCAACCATGGAGTTTGCTGTACCAATTTCTCACCAACTAAACCTAAAATAATGTTTGAGAAATTTACTAATGACATTTAAAGTAAGAGAAGGGTTGAAAACGATGTCGTTAATAATGAGAATGAAGTCTTTTGCATTTTAGAAGACGCGGATGACTTTAATATCCCATGTTTAAGCATCCTTAATTGACTGAACTCTGAACTGTTATTTTAAAGTTCTTTTTAGGAGTTTAAGTTACCTGTTTTGTTCCTATGAGGTTTATACCTTAAGCAATATATAAAGACTGTGTTATAAAATAAAATACTTTAATAAAATTTCAATGTTTTATTTATAAATCAATTAATATTAATATTCTTTAAAAATACAAGTAGATAATAAATGGGGGAAATCAGCGATAAGCCCCGTGTATTTCTTATGGACTTCCGGTGAAGATAAAAACGTAGAATATTTTTTGATCGTGTGTGAATACGAGGTGTGGTATGAAAGTGTGTGTTGGGGGCGAAGTCGTAGTTGAAGGAGTGAGGGGCCCCTTTAGCGTTAGTGGTGAGGGGCGAAGTCCTAGGGTGGGGCCCCTTTGGCGTTAATGGTGAGGGGCGAAGTCCTAGGGTGGGGCCCGTTTGGCGTTAATGGTGAGGGGCGAAGTCCTAGGGTGGGGCCCCTTTAGCGTTAGTGGTGAGGGGCGAAGTCCTAGGGTGGGGCCCCTTTGGCGTGAATGGTGCCTTAGAAGTTAGGTTATGTGTGACTTCCGGTCTGAATTCCAGGAATTATGGTGATGACGTCATCGCCAGGAACGGTGGGTGACATAATTGACCTTGAAGGAGTGGGGCCCGTTTGGCGTTAGTGGTGAGGGGCGAAGTCCTAGGGTGGGGCCCCTTTGGCGTTAATGGTGAGGGGCGAAGTGCTAGGGTGGGGCCCCCTTTGGCGTGAATGGTGTCGTGTGTAGATTAGCGTCTGCGTGTTAGAAGTTAGGTTATGTGTGACTTCCGGTCTGAATTCCAGGAATTATGGTGATGACGTCATCGCCAGGAACGGTTGGATTAATTGACCTTGAAGTAGTTGTGTTGCGGTTTGGTGCACTTCCGGTCTGAATTCCAGTAATTCTGGCGGAGGGGGGTCGGTGGTATTTGGGCTTGCGCATGATCTTGTGGAGCAGCAGGATGCGCATGCGTTAAATATGAATACTGTGATTTTGTTTGCATTTTTGTTAGTATAGTTCTCGTCCTCGTAATAGTACGAACGTGATTTAATTATTAAAATGGCAGCAGTAAATGAAGAACTGGATCTAGTTTTATGGGACATCTACAACGAATTTTCTAAAATGAATTGGAGTTGTGGTCACGAGGCGGTGTACGGTAGAGAACGGTTTTTCACGGAGCAAGAATGTAAGGAAGAAGAAGAAAGATTTGGACGTGCAATGGAGGCAACGTTACGTTGTCTAAATACGTATAATTTGGAAGAGCTCATAATAAATGTCTCAGCACTGGGTTTACTGTGGTATCTTGAACCACTGAAAAAGTTTATGACAGCTGACCTCGTGCAAACATGGTTCCCAGAAAATCGTTATGAAGGGGATGAGGACGAAGAAGAATGCAAGGAAATTTATAATTTAGAACATTTATATATTTTATGATTTGTTCAAATAAAACGGAATAAAACAAAATTATCTCATATTATTCTATGTTTTATTTACCAATTGTTATTCCTATCCTAAAATATATAATAAATATAAATATTTTACAATAAATAAAAAAATAAAATAAACCAATAAAAAAATAAAAAAAAATGGGGGTCAGGTGGATTCGAACACAGATGATACTTACCTTACCTATATAATTCAAACTAGCAGCCTAACGAACAAACCTACGGGACCACCCGACCCCCATTTATCATTGTTGAAACTAAAATATATAAACCACTGATCGTTATTAGTGTCTTTAAAAATTTGGTGGATTTGGCAACATCGCAATGGGGTGCATACTTAAAATGTTCTTCTATAGGACAGTCTTCCCGCCTCCATTTGAAAATTTCAATGTTACAATGTACGCATCTGCATATGTCTCCTTCCTGTATATAGTAAAATCCAGCGCTTGCCAAAGATTTTGCATCCACTTGTCCATTCCAATTTTTGAAACTTTTCAAACGGTCCTCGTAAGATATCGGATCGACGCTCTCACCGCACATTTTTCTGCTGATAAGGGAATGTAATTTACGGTGACTGTGGTTGGCGTAAGGATTGACGACGTTTATCTCTTAAATATTTATATACAACTACGATCACTACAATTCCAAGAATGAGCACAATATCACAAATTAATTCATATATAGGTATTTGGTTCTTGTCCTCCCCCTTCCCACCCACCGTCACATCTTCGTACGAGTTTATCTGTATGGATGTGTTCTGTATATGTAGATTCCATCCTAGATCGGTAAAACTTCTATTCAGATATACGAATCGGATTTTATAGAAAAACATCGAATCCAACATATTAGTTGTATCGTATTGGTAGACACTGATATTATTTATTGTATTTTCTTGCAGTCGACTCCATCCAACAGTAGGCCATTTTTCCTTCAAATCGAGCGTTATAAAGGCTTCTTGTACGTCAATAGGATGTAGTATATATAATATATTGGATACAAAAGCAGTTAATAACAACACCTGCATTTTTTCTCTGTTATTGGAATGAAACGATCTTTCACGACGAAAAGATTAAAACAAACTGAAATATTATATAATAAACAATAACAATATATAAAATAACTAGCCGTTCTTCTTCTCTCTCTCTCTCTCTCTCTTTCTCTTTCTATCTCTAAGTAATATAGTTGTGGTGAAAAGTCGACAACTGATCCAGAAGATGCTTTATTTGTTCTAATATTCCTATGGTGGGACAGTGTATATCGAACACGGATAAATCCATAGTTCCAACCTTTTGTATTTGTCTCGTAAATTCGTTGAAAGCATAATATGTGCTATCTTGAAAAAAATATAATAATCCATTGGTATAGCGGAATGTATGGGATAAAGTTGAAGGTATACCAGGAAATAAATTTTCAATACTACCATGTTGCTTTGGTTTAAATGTGCATTCGTCAAATTCGATGTACATTTTATCATAAAATATATATGGTAGGTGTTGCCTGAGTACGAATTAAATATTGAGATATATGTTTATTTTTTGGAATACCTAAATTATCCAATGCTCTACCCATCCCTCCATTTTTTGGAATAAAACTCGGAAAATCAAACAGATACAGTCTGTTATCACTAATTAGTAAAATATCACCGGAGGGTCTTCGATAAATGTGATCAACTTGTTTGAAACTCTTCGGTAAAAATGTTAAATAATCTGTTATAATTTCAGGCTTACCAACCACCTTTACTTTAAGATCGATGATCCAAACCCACGTTTTATAAAATACATATAGATTACTGTTTAAAATTAGGAATGCATTGAATTTTTTTATATCACATATCTGAGGAGGGTTTACTTGTGGAGTAGAATTTATTATTTTTTCTGTCGTTGTTGTTTGTAGTATCCTTGATGATGTAGAGGGTGGTGGTGGTGGTGGTGTTGGTTTAGGAACATCGGGAACACCATATAAATATTGAATAGCAAGTATATCGTCTGGACTTAGATCATGATATGTTGGATTATATACAGCATTCATTATAGCGTTATTATTAGATGAATGCCTTAAACCTAACGTATGTCCAATTTCATGTAATAAGACCCAATATAAACTGTATCCGGACTGATTTTGTATATCTCGAGAATAAATCCAGTCTTCACTTCGATCCAAGTGGATTTCGAGACATTCTGGATTTTGTCTCGGCATTGTTGCATGCGCTAAAACTCCTCCGCGACCATCGAAATCACTACTGCACAAACTCACCTTACTTCTATCACATCGATCATAGTGCTGACGGAAACCATCGGCGAAGGAAATTACTATATCCGGTTTGAAAATGATTTCCCGTTCAAATTTCAACTTTGTAACCTTTTCCCACGTAGTAAATGCTCTTTCGGCAACATTTATATAAGGATCCTGTGTTACGCGAAGAAAATTCCAGGTAATTTTTGTTTTGTTCCACTTATTAGATCCTACGGAAAATGGCACCAGCAAGTAATCGTCCTTGACACCACAACGTGATCTTTCCATAAGCGATATGGTTTCATTATTCAGATCTCCATTATTCTCGGGCAAGTGGTAAAATTGCTGGAAGTTTGAAATGGCCTCCCTAAATAACGTCTGCAGTGACGACGCATTATATGTTTCCTCGTCTTGAACGTTGCTGGTATTATTATGATTAATATAACCATATCTTTCTAAATACTCTGTGGCAAACTGTAATTTATCGTTGCTGTCACTACACGCACACTGTAAAAAATATATAATAATAAATAATGAATAAATGTTTCCTATCTTCATTTTATCGACTTTACTCAATCACTGTCTTATTTAAACTGAACAAAAATATAAAAAATAGGTATATTTAAATAAAAATCGATTTATTTACTTCTAAAAAACGTCTATATTATATCTTATCATACAAGTAACATATTATTTACAATATCATTATATAGTTGAATACAATTATTTTTACTACACATACAATATTTGAGGTTATGTGAAAAACAAGATGGCCGACTTTTATAAAATTTTGGCATTTGACATTTTACATTAACAATCTTAATTTGCGCCTCATACAATAGTCTATTTAAAAATTCTAGTTTTTGATGACCTCGAACATAAATACAATCTACATAATACTTATCTAAAATATTCACAATGGCACTTTTAACTTGTTCAATGTTATCCATATTTCCGACCGCGCTATAATTGATTCCATGATAAAACTTTTCCAGATAACGCACTTCTTTTCGCTCTTCATTTGTTAAGCTACATAGTGACCTCGGTGACGTAATTGTAAAATGTTCACATCTCTGTCCATCATAAATGGTTAGTTCTTTTGCTTCAAACCCATCTTTTGACAATTTACTATTGAAAAATCCCTGTATGTCTATTACGATAAACTTCATGGTCGATGTTAATTCGGCAACAACCAAAATCGATCTACCATTGCTTCTAATAGATCCTATAATTTATAATAATTCTTTGACGGCTGTCGTTAAGGCACTGTATTCAAATATTTTATCGTGTACAATTATACAGTAGCATCGAGTGTTTAATGGAAAATTTTCGCTTGCTTCAAATTCCAATTTAACATCCACAGTAGACGATTTGATATCTTCTTGTTTGGATGAATCGATTACGAAAATGGGAAATTTTTCAAATGAGTCGTAATTAAATAGGGGAAATGACGTATTTCTTCCATAGAATATCTTTTGAAAATCACAATATATTTGGAAAGCTTCGGTATATCTCTTCTTTTTAAAATCAAAATTTTGATTTTCAAACGGATATATTTCTGAATTGAGCCACAATCGGATATTTCGTAAATTTAGATGGTCAAATTCGGATACACTAGCTTTGGAATTATCCTTACGATCTGTTTGAAAAGCAATGCAAACATATCTGGGACGCATTAAATTCGAGGCTGTCTTTACACTCCACACATCCTTGTGTGTTGATCTTAATGCGGGTAGTTCATGAAATTCCCATTGTCTAAATGGTATTTGTATAACTTTATCCGTATTCATTTGTTCCAATAAATGTAGTTTATATTTATCGTTAGGGTGTACGTGCTTTACTTTAAGCTCGATTTTTTGCACTTCAATTGTGGCAGTACTGGTTCCACTACTTTCGTAACAATTATCATCGGTACGAGCCCTAATCAAACGAAATTTATGCTTCCCCGTCAAAACTCGTCGATAATCGTGAAATACACTAAACAAGTGTGAAAGGGGAATTCGTAACGTGAATGAGTTATCTGTATGATAAGTGGCTATTGCGGAATTTTTCTTTTCCAAATTACACCATCCAGCACCCTCTAATGCTGTGACTTCATTGCTTGTATAGCACAGGTATCCTCGCATAGCTGTTACCAGACCAGGATCTCGAACCTTATCAATTTCCTTTCCGTTGAGTTCGTACGATATGGACTCGAATAAGTATGCTCCTACATTATTTGTTAATTTACATTTTCCTCTGGGTGCCTCGCCTTCATTAATCGGTTTAAAAACACACTCTAAATACAGGTAACCACTAGAAAAATCGACTAAAATGTCCTGTTGATTGATAATGATTTCAATTTCATCGTTGTTTCCAAAGGAATTCGTTTGCGGATAGTATGTATGTTCCTGTTCTTTCACTACGACCTCGTCGAATACGGCCTTTTGAAATATATTTAGTTTATCGGACATGATAACCTAACTTCTTTAAAATATCCAAATTTTTCTGGGTTAATTCTTGATTGTACCGATGTTTCGACAAACAAGATTTTCGTCGTTGACCACAACGATGATGTTGCTTGTTCGAACCCTTAATACCTACTGACGCTTTCTCCACCTGTCCCTTGAATTTATTGTCCGCGAAGAAAAATCCATCTTGAATAGTGTGTTTAATAACTAGGCCCATTTTTTCTCAATTCTAATCTTACCACTACCTCTTCGTTACGGAAATTCACTAGATCTCCGTTCTGATCTAAAATTCTGATTGTGATATTGTCTATAAGATTCTTATTAATAATCGGTAAATATATATAATTGTTTGGTTCAATGTTTATAGCGTAACCAGGATCAACAGACGGTGCAAATTCAAATATCGTATGAGATGGTTTATTTCCATAAAAACATCCACTTGATATATTACACTCGATTCGTATAGTAGCTACTTTGATGATATTGACAGGTAGATCAGACTCGTATGTTTGTAGCTGTGGTAAAATTCTCGGTGAAAATCCTAAAAGTTGTCCTAGCGAATCACTTGCTCTAAAATCGATGTGAAATATACTTTTCAATTCGCACTTTAATGTATTGTTATTAGGTTTAAGCGAAAATATTTGATCTCTAGCTGCCTGAACACAGCCGCTTTCCTTCGAACACAATTTCTTCTGAATAAAATTTTCAATATCGGCTATTTCATAAGCCCCTGTAGGAACACTGACCTTCGTCCAAGATTTATTATCAGCACTAATATACAGACTATTATTAACACCGTCTTCTATATTAGGTATACTGTTATAAGTGTGAAAACCAATCAATGCCAAGGAATAGTTGAATTTTGAATCCAGTTGAATGGGTGGATAAAAATCAACACTTAACACGCTGCTTCGACCTGTTAGGGTAAATGTCTGAGACATGACTAAATAAAAACACACAAATGTTATTCCTTATATAGCTTTATTTTTTCCATAACGAAACAGAAATTCTAGACATAAATGACCACAATTATAAGAATTAAATTTTTGATATCGTACATAATTATAGTATATTTTTACAGGTTCCTTTTTTTTCGTCACGTACAAAACTAAATCTGTGGGTGGTTTTAAATTGCCAAAACTATCGAAATAGTATACAGTACGTCCCTCTTTAACATAAGCTACCCAATGAGTACCTCTACCTAAATTTGAATCTAAATTAACTACCCCGCATTCAAACCGATGTGCGCCATTTTTCGGTAGATTATCACGCATAAATACACCACGAAAATGTTTGAGTTTTAACTGCCGTGCATATTCACAAATATCGATATTAGTAAGGGCTCTATGGGGTAGCTTTATTGGCAGTTTTTTTTATTTTGAACGTTTTTTCCTAAATATAATCCAAGTCCTTTTTTATATGGTTTCAAATATAGTCCGCTTCCTCCAGTTCTATTGTTGTTGTTGTTGTTACCTATGGCAATAGCTTCCATTGTCTTGTTATGACGTTCCGCTTCCTCCAATTTTTGGCGGGCAGCTTTTGCCTGATTTACAGCCTTAACTACTCCCGAAACACCTCCCGCCAATGATCCCAAAGCACTAACACCAGCTAATAAGGGTATTAAAGGTAAAAATCCACCTGATTTAGGTACGGGAATGATGCGTGGGACACGTATATTTTTTTTTCCTCCCGCTTCTTTAACATATTGTCGTGCTGCGTGTACCATTGCCTTAACATCTCCATTATTTGAATTTAGGTTATTTTTTAGCGGCTTCAGAATGGACCTTTCAAACGAACACTTTCGTTTTTGGCGTTGTAATCGTCGTGGCCGTCGTCGTCGACGTTGTCGTTTATGCTTTTGTTTTTCTCCAACTATTTTCAGCTTACTAATCGCATTACCCATTCCAAATTTTCTCTTTGTTTTCATTGCTGTGGTTACGAACCAGGAGGCGACTTTCTCACCTGCTTTCGCGTCTTTCGACTTGACTCTTTCCCAAGCTTTATACCCTAGAATTTTATCAGCTTTATGTCTATCCGCCAAATCTTTACTTTGAGAGTAGGCGATATCGTGCTCCTTACACGCTCGATCTAATTCGTTTATGCCTGGATCTCCTCTGGCTAATCGTTTAGCTAGCTTTGTTCCTGGTCCACAATACTGATAACCCGGTATATGAAGTTCTACAGGTAAAGAATTTATAACCTTGTTCAGCAGTCCGCTCCCTTCGACAACTAACATAATACTAAACTAAATATCGAAGCTACCCGCCTTTTATTTGTCATGCAAATAAAATAATCGAACTATTTCGAAATCAGTTAGTCTTATCTAAGCAGTTGTAGAATGAGGTTCGTTCAGCAAAAGGTATTATTACCTGTTCAAAATCAAGATGTAAGTGTTGTTTGCGAAAATACCCGTCATGGTTCTCTCCTACCTAATACTATTAGAGCTATAATATGTGGTCCGAGTAATTGTGGTAAAACAAATGCGTTGTTAAGTCTAATATTTGAACCGAATGGATTGCGGTTTGAAAATATATACGTATTTTCGAAGTCATTGTTTCAGCCGAAATATGAATTATTACAGAATGTCATTAGCAAAATAAAAGGAATAGGATACTTTACCTACGATCAAAACGAACAGATAATAGATCCCAGTGAGGCAAAAGAAAATTCCATTATAATTTTCGATGATGTTGCTTGTGATAAACAGAATAAAATTAGGGGATAAATATATACTAAAGCCTATATCTGATCCTTTAGAAGAAATTAATAAGATAATCTCTACGACAAACACTTTACCATCAAAACCTTCGAAAATTACTAGAAAGTCTTTTTTCAAGAAGAAGAAGAAAGCAAGGAAGAGTATGGTCGGTAAAATATCCAGCCACCAGCACCCCTCGAATAGTAGTAGCACTCAAATCGATAATGAAAGCGAGATCGATCAAACCTTAGTATATGAATCTGCTCAATCGGATAGTGACATTCAGAGCGCGGAAGAGGAGGAGGAGGAGGAGCAAGAGGAGGAAAAAATAACTAAAAGGAAGCCATTTAGGTACAGTGAAAATTTAGAAAAATCCTTTCAGAAGTATTCAGATTTGCCGAAAAAATATATTTTGGAAATTTTCCACAATAAAGACGTATATGATGATGTTTTTGGTCCACGATTTAACGTTGAAAACGAAACATGGGAAATCGGAAATGTAGCCTTACGTATAACAAAGGATGGAGATTTTTTCGTTGGTAAAAACAAATATACCGGTACACCAGGTCTATACGAATTAATGTTTAAAAAACGACCTGAAAATTATTCAAGATTAGAATTGAATAATTATAGGAAAATCGTATTGCAAACTAATCTTCCCTATAGGGATTTTAATAACACAAACCAGTTAAGAGGTAGTAGATCGTGGAAATATAAAAATATTATGAAACCTATTGTTGCTACAAGAGAGGGTAGAATTGTGGGTAGTGGCAACAACAATAATAATAATAATATTTACAACACAAATAAAATCGACTATGTTTATTGGGACGATCCAAATGAATTGGTGTCTCGATTAGCCCTATTACATGCATCCACAAATGCCGGAAATAATTCACACTTGAATGAAATCAATGCCATAGAAGAGGAATTACGTGAAGCTAAAATTATATATTAAATGAATCTATAATTTAACCCTCAGTATTAAAATGTCTCTAGACAAGTTCGGACGTACGTCTCTGGTTACCAGGGATCGACAAAGGGCAAGTCAAAACCACTTGCAGTATCAGTTTTCCTACACAACAGACGGCAACTTTGATCTAAAAGGTAGAAAATTTTCTAATGCTATTGATCCGGTAAATTCTCAGGATTACACTACAAAGAATTACGTTGATAAGCTTACTGATAAGAAATATTTACTTTTGAAGAAGGAAAATCAAGAATATATCGATAGTAAATATTTCGAAATTGAACAAAAAATCAATTCTACAACCGAAGATTTGCGAAATAACATCAAGGATAGTACAACAAAAACTATAGGGGATATTAACAAGGGTATTGAAGTGTTTGAATTTGGTCTACAGAATATAGAAAAAAAATTACGTAGAGAATTTACGAAAATTGTACAAGAAGAATTAGATAGAAAATTAACAGCACAAAAGAAAGCTATTGAAATAGCAACAAATAATTTAGAAAAGATTAAGTAATAAACAGAGAGAGAGAGAGATGGGTGATGTGAAAACGCAAATTGTTAATGAATTATATAAGGCGCCAAGAAAGAATTTCAAAAGACGAAAAACGGTAGTGAAATCAATAGGAGATTTGTTTCAAATAGATTTGGCCGACTTTCAAAATTTGGCCTTTGCCAATCGTGGGTACAAGTACATTTTAGTCGTAATCGACTGTTTTTCGAAATATCTCTGGACGAGACCTTTAAAAACCAAGTCTGCCGAAAACGTAACCGAAGCTATGCAGTCTATCTTAAATGATGTAGAGCATAAACCTAAAAACCTGCAGTACGACCAAGGACGAGAATTTTTAAATTTACCATTCCGCAAACTCATGAACAATTATAACATAAATCATTATCATACCTATAGTATAATTAAGTGTGCTATTGTGGAAAGAGTGATTAGAACTCTTAAAACTAAACTCTATAAAGAATTTCATATCAACGGATCTTATAATTGGCTAGATCATCTTCAAGATGTGACCAATAAATACAACGATACAGTACACAGAACAATTAAAATGAAGCCTAAGAATGTAACCAAAAAACATGAAAAAAAACTACTTTCAACTGTATACAAACGCAACGATAGGGAATATTTTCGAAGAAATAAGTACAATTTGGGGGATACTGTACGAATCTCGAAATATAAACATTTTTTTGAGAAAGGATATACGCCCAGCTGGACCACAGAGTTGTTTAGAATTAATGAAATTAATTCATTATACCCACCCACATACTTATTGTCGGATCTGGAAGGAAACCCTATAAAGGGGTGTTTTTATGAGGAAGAGCTACAACGAACAAATTATCCTAACACATATTTAGTGGAGAAAGTCATACGAAGAAAGGGTAACAAGGTTTTTGTGAAATGGCTAGGATTTGACAAGAAATTCAACAGCTGGATTCAAAAGTCTGCAATTGTTTAATTTGAATTATCTTGTACGTTGTACGAGATAATTATTTTTTGTTTTTAATTGTATATTGTATTCTAAATTGAATAAACGTTTTTTGATTAACTATTAAGAATTTGATTTTATTTAAAAAAAAATATTTTTTAAACAAGTGTAATCTCTAGCGGATATTGGTTTACGGTTTTCCTTTTTCGCATAAAAAAAAGACACGAGCTTATCATTTTATAAAATTTTATAGGAAACCATATTGGTTTCCAAATGCGGTTTTTTTTATATTACCTCAGAAGACATGAAAAACAAAACGTTCACTCGTCTTAAGAACAGTAACGTAGCAACAAGTAAAAAAAAATGGATCGTCAAGTATTTCGGAAAAAACTGTATATGTGCACAAATTGTAGAAGAATTTCGAAAATAACGGTCGAAAAGGGTATGGTGCATGAGACACCACCCTTCTATAGATTCTGCCCCGTCTGTTCTGCTTTTACAGTGTTTAATATAATTATGAAACATGTGGTAATGGTAAATGTTAGAGACGGAAGAGTGTAGAGACGGATGAGTATATAGTTTCCCATATTTATGTAAGTAAAATACTACTACCTACACCTATGCTTTAGTAATACCCCCTCTTTTTTCAGATATATTACAAGAAAATATAAATTTAAATCATCATTCAATATTTGCTTAGTTATCGCTTTGCTTAAGTTATAGTATCAATAAAAAGAAAATGGAACCAGAAGTAGCTAGAACAAAATTGTATATTTGCAGTGGTTGTAAAAAACTTAACAAAATCATTATGGAGAAAGGATGGCTGTATAAGCCAAATAGGTTCCTAAAATTTTGTCCATTTTGTGCTGATTACAGAATATTTAGAATTAGAATGCATCAATTAAATTGAACAAGATAATTTCCTATATTTATGTAAGTAAAACACTATTACCTACGCCTATGCTTTAGTAATACCCCCCCTCTTTTTTCAGATATATTACAAGAAAATATAAATTTAAATCATCATTCAATATTTGCTTAGTTACCGTTTTGCTTCATCAAGTAACAGTTGATTTTTTTTATTTTTTTCTGTGTTTTAAACAATAAAAGAAAAAATGGAAAGGTTAAACAGTGTCAGTAGATGTGAATACAAACCAAAAATATCTGTGGAAACGCTAAAGGTCAATGAAAAATATAAGGTTTTAAATTTAAAAAAAATGCGTGGTGCCTATGGCGATACAGTATTGGTTGAAGTGGAAGAAGGGGTATTTTTCTTACCAAAAAGAATAGCAACTTCAATGACGAAACCAGTCGTTGATGAGCTTTTGGGTGGCACTGGCTGCTACATAAAATATTTAGGAAAGAAGACGATCGGTGGTCTAGCCAACCCTGTGAATATATTTGAATTCGAACAGTAGACTTCACAAATTAGTAAATATGGAAGACATCTTACGGACTACAGGAAAACTATTTAAACTTGTTAAAACACAAAATGAAGTGGACAGATTTTTAAAATTAAACAAAAAAAATATCAAATTGGTTCTAAGAAAACTGAAGGTGGATGATAATTTAACATTTGGGGAAAAGTTGCAAATAGAAAATGCACTGGCTTTACTAAAATCGTACAATATTCAAATTCAAAGGAAAATTATACATGGCAGTGGAGTTCGAAGTACATCTTCATCCTCGAAGAGAATTTTATGGAAACAAGTAAGTTTTTACAATTTTTATTTAAATAATTTTATTTATTTTCCCCGTTTTTAATTCCAGATTAGTTCAGCTTTTCAATCAAGAATAATAACAGCATCAATAGTTAATATATCTCACACTGACACTAAATTATTTTTAAACGAATGTTCAAAATTATTAAAAATTAGATTTAAAAATATACTTAGAAAATTGCAGTCTTTTAAAGTAAATTTAAAACTTTGTTGCCTATTTGAATTGCCCTCTACGGGGGAAGAAGAAATCAAACAATTTGGAACTGTCAACAAAGAAGTGTTATCTTCAAGTAATGTGTCGAGAATACTACAAGAACTTCAAGCTATACTATTGACTAAGCTGGAAGAATTTGAACATCGTGGGTCTGGATGGAGATATCTAGGTATTTCACATTTAATAGTATCGATTAACAAGTATTCACCAATCAATGGAGCCACCTACGTTTCCCTTCCAAGCTGGTTAAGCGGCAAAGGCATTGTTAATATAAAAAATAACGATTCAAGGTGTTTTGCTTGGTGTATACTAGCTCATTTATTTCCTGTTCAAAATGATTGTGAAAATGTAAATTCTTATCCTCAAAACATACACGACTTTTTAAATTTTAAAAATATCGAATTTCCTGTAGCCCTAACTTCTATATCTAAGTTTGAAAAACAGAATCCGAATATATCAATAAACGTATTTGGCATTGACAATAAATCAAAATGTATTATAGGTCCTTACTATCACACAAAAATAGTTAAAGAAAAGCATATTAATTTATTATATCTCATTTCAAAATACCAAAAAAATGGACATTATTGCTTAATTACGGATTTATCGAAATTAGTAAAAGAACACGTAACCAAATCTAAAAGTTCCTTTTTTGTTTGTGAACTCTGTCTTAATCATTTTTCAAGCGAAAAGAAATACCAAACTCATCGTGAAAATTGTTTATTATTTTCACCTGTTAAAGTAACAACACCTAGTGAATCGGATTCTGTTTTAAAATTTAAAAATTTTAAAGCTCTAATTCTAAGACCTTTCGTTATATATGCAGATTTTGAGTGTTTTACGAAAAAAATTCAATTCTGTAAATCTAATCCGGATAGGTCATTTAACACTAATTATCAAATCCACGAGCCGTATAGTGTAGCATATAATATTGTTTGTTCATTTAATAGTGACCTGAATAAATTTAATTTATATCGAGGAGAAAAGTGTGCCGTGTGGTTCGTGAATCAGCTAAAGGAAGAATCGTTTAAAATTTCAAATATATTCAAAGAATTAAGAGTAAAACATAAAAATTACGTATCCCTAAATGAGGACGAACTTAATGATTTCATTAAAACCACAAGTTGTACAGTCTGCGATAACATATTTACTAGTGCGAATTTTAAAGTCCGTCATCACGATCACTATACAGGGCGTTATATTTCTTGTATTTGTAACAATTGTAATTTACAGATTCAAACTGATACTACTATTCCCGTTTTCTTTCACAACTTAAATTATGATTTACATGTATTCATTAGAGAACTTTCAAAAATTTCCCATGTGGAAATACTTCCTTTAAATCATGAAAATTATATTTCTCTTTCCGTGTATTTCGGTGATATAAAATTAATGTTTTTGGATTCCTTTAAATTTTTGCCTGCATCGTTAGAAACGCTAGCGAATAATTTGGATAGAGAATTATTGCAACCGTTAAGAATACATTTTAATAATGAATTAGAATTCGATCTAGCTATGAGGAAGGGAGTATTTCCGTATGATTATGTAGACGATTGGGATAAACTTAACGATACTATTTTACCACCACATAACTGTTTTTATTCGTTGTTAAAAAACCAAAATATATCTGAAGAAGAGTATCGGCATGCGCAAATGGTTTGGTCTACTTTTAATGTGAATAATATGGGTGATTATAGCGATATTTATCTAAAGATTGACGTTCTCTTACTAACATCAATATTTGAAAATTTTCGAAAATTGTCTTTCAAGTATTATGGATTAGATGCAGCCGCTTTTCTAACATTACCCTCCTTTTCATGGGCAGCGGCTTTAAAAATGTCGAAAATTAATTTAAAATTATTAACCGATATAGATCAAATTTTATTTATAGAAAAAGGAATACGAGGAGGGGTGTGTCAAGCAATTTGTCGTTATAGTAAATCTAATAACCCGTATTATTCTGAAAATTTCGATAACACAAAACCACATACTTATTTATCTTATTGGGATTTAAATAATTTATATGGATGGGCTCAATCACAAAATTTACCATTTAACGATTTTCGATGGTTAGAACAGTTCGAGGTTGAAATTTTAAAGTTTAATTTATTAAAATGTTTTGATCGAGTTACTAGTAAGTATGGAAGTTCAAAGGAAAAATCAATTATTTTAGAAGTAGACCTAATCTATCCGTCGCATTTGCACGATCAACATAAATTTTTGCCTTTTTGTCCCGAACACAAAATCTGTCCGAATTCAAAATCTCAAACAAAATTGCTCTGTACACTAAACGATAAACATAAGTATGTAATTCATTTTGAAAATTTGTGTCTATGTTTAAGACATGGTCTAATATTAAAAGACATTTATAGAGTTTTAGAATTTAGTCAAAAGCCTTGGCTTAAATCATATATTGAATTTAATACGAAAAAAAGAATGGAAGCCAAGAATGATTTCGAGAAGGATTTTTTTAAATTATTAATTAATGCAAATTTTGGAAAAACTATAGAACGAGATAGAAAGAAACGAAATATTAAACTAGTTAGAAACTGGAATTCAGCTCGTAAATATATTTCAAGACCTGAATTTAAAAATGTTAAAATATACGACGAAAATTTAATATCTATCGAATTAAATAAAACTAATATACTTTTTAATAAACCAATATATGCGGGCTTTACCATTTTAGAACTTTCCAAAATTCGGATGTATAGTTTTTATTATGACTATGTCTTAAATAAAATTGAACCGCTTTTTAGTACTAAGCTTTGTTATATGGACACAGACTCTTTTGTTTTTGAATTTACTAGTAAATGTGTAAATCCAGAACTGTCCATTTATGACATAATTAAAAGAGACTGTAAGAATTTCTTTGATACGTCTGAATATGACGATACTAATCCATACTGTATTCCAAAAGTTAACAAAAAAACTCCTGGTATGATGAAGGACGAGCTAAAAGGAAAAATTTTATCGGAATTTATTTGTCTCAGATCAAAGGTTTACATGTATAGAATCGAAGGAAAAGACTCTAACGCGAAACTTAAGGGTGTTAGCAAGTCTGCTTCTAGTCGTTTAACATTCGAAGATTTCTATACATCACTTTTTCACAATAAGAAATCTTATCTATCTTTCAATACAATTCAGTCAAAAAACCACAATAATTATTCTATACATGTAAAAAAATTAGCTTTAGATCCTTGTGATAACAAAAGATTTATTATGGCTGATAACATAAACACGTTACCATGGGGACACTTTTCTCTCTTGTAACAGTTTTATTTATTAGGTATTATTAAGCGTTTCATCTTAAGTCTAAATATTTTCTTGTATTATGTATAAATATTTTCTTGTATTATGTATAAATATAATACTGTTTACAGTTTTTTTTTTCAAGATTTGTATCCACTAACATTTTAATACTTTAGTTATATTTATGTATGTATTATGTAGTGTATAAGATGTCAACTTTTTGTTATTCTGGGTATTCTTATATAATTTTCTGTTATATCTATTAGTTTACTTAGATCTATTTTTTAAAATATATGATGTCTTCCATATTTTAAGATATATATATATTTTTTTCTATATACTTGACGTTCCATTTTATTTTTGCTTGTTGCTTAGATTACATATGTAGGAGATAGTTATTATTTTGGGTTTCAAATAAAATATGCTTATTTACTAGTTTACTTGTTTTATTTTATGAATATTATAAAAAAATATTTTAACAATCACTATATTACAGTATACATTTTTATTCCTCGAAAAATTCGTTTGTTTACTAGTTTACTTGTTTTATTAATATTATAAAAAAATAAATATTTTAACAATCACTATACTACAGTCACAGTAATTTAAATACATTTTTTTATTCATCGAAAAAGATGTTTATTTGCTTTATTTTATTAATAGATATTATAAAAAAATATATTTTAACAATCACTATACTACAGTAATTTAAATACATTTTTATTCATAGATATGCAACCATACATTCATATCTTAAAGCTTTCATCTTAAAACTAAATATTTAACAATATCTATAGTACCCCAGTAATTTAAATATATAGTTTTTTGTATTCATGGGTATGCAACCAAACACACACATCCCAAAGCATAAGTTATGAGATATCTCGATCATGACATCCTCACAACCTTCATAGTAATTAGATCCTCTTATCAGTAATGTGGTTAGAGAGCTTCAACACAACATCTTACGAGGATCGCTTGAGAAGTATCTAAAATTGTTATGTAAAAGACGAAGCAAAAATTATTGTTAAGTATTTTTAACATTCGCTCAATATCAGGCACATTCAAATATTTTTCAGATTTTAATAATTTTGTCAATGACAATAATTTATAAACAATATTTTACCAATATATACAAGTCCTAACTCCATGATTGCGCAATATTACGTAATATTTCATCACCTATTCGACGCATGCGCATCCTGCTGCTCCACAAGATCATGCGCAAGCCCAAATACCACCGACCCCCCTCCGCCAGAATTACTGGAATTCAGACCGGAAGTGCACCAAACCGCAACACAACTACTAAGGTCAATTAATCCAACTGTTCCTGGCGATGACGTCGGTCACCATAATTCCTGGAATTCAGACTTCCAGTCACACATAACCCAACTCTAACACGCAGACGCGCCAATCTACACGACACCATTCACGCCAAAGGGGGCCCTAATCTCTAGCACTCTGCCCCTCACCATTAACGCCAAAGGGGCCCCACCCTAGACTTCTGCCCTCACCACTAACGCCAAACGGGCCCCACCTCAAGGCGTCAATTATGTCACCCACTGCTCCTGGCGATGACGTGTCATCACCATAATTCCAATTCAGACCGGAAGTCACACACATAACCTAACTTCTAAGGCAATTCATTCACGCCAAAGGCCCCACCCCAGGGACTTCGCCCCTCACCACTAACGCTAAAGTGGGCCCCACTCCTAGACTTCTGCCCCCTCACCATTAACGCCAAACGGGCCCCACCCTAGACTTCGGCCTCACCATTAACGCCAAGGGGCCCCACCACCAAGGACTTCTGCCCCCTCACCACTAACGCTAAAGGGCCCCTCACACTCCTTCAACTAACACTCCCCGCCCCCCAACACACACTTTCATACCACACCTCAGTATTCACACACGATCAAAAAAATATTCCTACGTTTTTATCTTCACTGAAGCCCATAAGAAATACACGGGCTTATCGCTGATTTCCCCATTTATTATCTACTAATACAATAAAAAATATAGATGGCGTGTTTCAGTTAAATTTTCTGTGCAAATTGTTTTTACCTTTCTTCTCAGTCTATCGTCTAAAAACACTACGCCTCTCCTATCCCTTCACAAGGAATCCATGAATCCATTAATCACCAAATAATCACCCAAAAAAGGCTCAAATCAACAGTTTTTACAAAAATAATTCCAAATAAGCATTTATCTACTAAATTTGTTGTTTGTTAATTGAATCAGCGTCAGCTGTTTTGACATTTACGTGTCTAGCCAGATGGAATGATGGGAAACAGCTGATTAGTCTTATTTTTAAAAAAAAATGGCCTAAATATAAGCACAGTGCAGTCGCATCACATGAATTTGTAATGAATTTTATAGTGGTCAAAATATTATGAATCAAACACATTTTTGTAAAATATTTCAAAAATTTTTTATGAAAATAATAGCTATAATTTTCGGAGTAAATTTCACAAGAATTTCGGACGTGTAAAACGGCTCTAAATAATAACACAATACACACAAGCTTTGAGTAGGCAAACTTGTAGGGCAGACGTATGCCGATATGGCGATTAATGGCGCTTTGGCTGAAAGTTTTATGCGACACGGAAAAAGGTGGCAAATTTCGCAGGGCCTTAATTAGTTAAGTGCGCGCAAACTTATAAGTGTTTATACAGGGTGTCCCAGAAATAAGTATTTTAAGGGTGGTAGATCCGATAAAAGAAACATATTTTCTCTTATCGTTTTTCAAGCAAGTCCAAATAACGGAGTTATTTTCCTTTGAAAATTTCCAAAAAATATTTTTTGCTAAAATTTTAAGAACCACTGTATCTTTTTGGATTTCTTTCTTGTAAATTTAATGCTATGTCTATTTTTATCTATGTTGCCATATTATCATTAGGAAATTATGTGTTTTTAACTAAAAACTAAAAGATTCCAAAAAACTTTCAAAAAAATTTCGAATTTTCAAAAATTTTTTTTCGCGAAAAACTCACAGGCGTTTTTCTGGGGTTGAACTATACTACCAGTTAAAATATTCTGCACTTATTTGGACACCCTGTATATTTTGGAATCGGCACACTGAACGGAGCTCGAATTTTCGATAAATAAAAGAGGTAAAAATGTTAAGATCGTTAACCTATCTTACGTTATATTACAGGGTGAGTGATAAAAAACAAATAGAAATTCCTAATATTTATTCAAAATACGCAACACATTTAATTTTTGGATATCTTAGCACAACTACTAAATACTATTATCGCAGATGGCACAAACAACAATGATAAGTGATTTTTATTATTTAATCCTTGAAGCATTTTAAAATGTAATCTAATTTTTCTGTTTGCGTGACATTTTAACCTCCTTTATTTTTATAGACTAATATTATTCTGTGCTTGTTTATAGGGAATATGAAGTAAATATTATATAGCGTATTAACTATTAAATGTTATGTATGTTTGTTTGAAATAAAATTGTGAATTTTTTGCTAATTTAACCCTAGTTTCCACTAATATCTAGTTTGTTTTTATATAGAAGAAAAGGGTTTGGGAAACCCTTATTTTAATAGAAAAATTAAAAACTATTTAGTTCAAGTATCTAACTAAAATACAATATTAAATTAAATCCTAACTCTAGGTGTGTGAAGAAAAACACATTTTTATTGGTTTTGCGTAGTGGAAAAGGGCAATGGAAACCCTTATTTTTAACAGAAAATAAAAATACCCCATTGATCTATTAGTACACATAACACTAAAATACAATGCGTTGTTAAATCATAATTCTACATAATATGAAGGAAAACGCAATTTATTGGTTCTGTGTAGTGAAAAAGTGCTGGAAACCCTTATTTTAATATTTCTCCCGTATTTTCGGCTTAGTTAGTCTGACAAGTACATTCAAGATGAAACGCCGAAAGATCAGCGAAATGAAAACCTTCTTGACCCAGTTGAGTCAACTCTGGCGGTAAAAGAAATGGTGCCGGTTCTAAACAACGTCGGAGCGACAGATTCCAAAAGAACAAGGAAGCAGATAATGCACTTAGCCGGTATATTTTCTCGCCTGAAGACAAGACCCTACTGCCGTCCTGTCCCTTCCAATAGCAAGAGAAACTCCACCCTGTTACAGTGCACAACATTTAGATGTGTACCTGATTACGTGACCGAGCCGGGATACCATGCAAAGCAATTGGTACTAGATCTTTTGCCCGGTTTGACAACCTGCATGATAAGTGTGTACAGAAAGGTATGCTTATCTTATCTGAAGTAAAGTTATGCTATGCACAGAGCCTATGTCGATAAACCAGATGAAGAGCTCCCTCAAAGAAGAGTATAACTTGAGGAATTATTAGACCTAACAACATTGGTGTTAGCACTTTACCATACCTTTTAGCTATCCTCCGAATGTATCGGTAACTCGCGATGGTAACATGATCGTTACCCCCATATTGGCAGAGTTTAGAGAAATGAACTACGAGAATTGTTCTGGTGCTCCCCACCTACTCACCCAGGCAATTACTTCCCTTCTCAGACTTTTAAGAGACGGAATCCTCTATTGACCAGGGATGTTCATGCTATAGCAGCGTGGACTTGAAAAATTTACCTGGCATAGATTGGGAAGAATTCGATGGACTCGCCGCCACCTGCGGCGGTTCAAGGCCCTCGATGGTTAGGCCTCAGCGCCGCTAGCGCCGAGTTTTGGTTACGAAACAACAGAATCAAGTGACTGATGCTGAATACAGGACGTTTGTGCAAATAGTGCAATCAATGAATTCCAAAAAGGGATTCCAACCTTACAACCGATTTGTCTCATGGACAAGGTACTCTTAGTCAAACTGTTAGAGTTCCCGATTGGTTAGTCAGCTCCTCATGTTCCTGGTTCTCAAATGGACGACACAAGCGAATATGATCAAAAGCTTCTGGCGTGGCGTTTGGATTAAATTTTCTCCTAGATGTGGGTTTAGTGGTTATGAGAGAAATGCCTTCTCCTTTCTTGTTTAATGAGTATTTTATTTTTCGTTTCAGTTTTAGTGAAAGATATATCCATTAAAAGGGGATTTAGAATTTTTTTAGAATGAGTGGAGGGGGGGTTAATCACTGACCTAACAGATCCATTGTGTCCCCCTTTCTGAATCATAATCTCCAATATACAGTCCCAGGGCTTTGACAAAAGCCAGTATCTGGGACGGTTTTATAGAGGGCAGTTTCATCTCCAATATCAGTCGTACCAAAA